AAAAATTATTAATTCAAATTATATTTGACAGATATAGATATATTTGACGAACAAATAAATAAAAGTTTAAAATATCTCTACAGATTACAAATCTATGTTTCATATCCAGATTAAATAAATATTAATGTAAATGTTGGTATTTACACAATAATTAAGAAACTATTTGTTTCTATTAAAGATTTGATTTAACATCTAATGTTACTTGCAAAATACATTTTTATCTTTATTTGTTTAATTGAGGACAACAGAAACTATTGCAGAAACTATTTATATCTATAAAGTTTATGGATAAAATGGTTAAAATATTTAACAAATAAATATATTTATTAAATAAATAAATAAATGAATAGTTTGAAATTCTTTAAGATTATACAAATGAGGAACCTTCATTTTTATCATAATTAAATAAATACTAGTACATAATACTTACATAATAAATACATACATAATAAATACTTTTTAATAATTAATAATATTTGATAATAGTTATGATTTTCATTTTCATGCTTTTGTTATCTAATGGTACTTCTGGTACTACTTGTAAATCATCCTATATCTTCATCTTCATCAACTTAATCGGGGACAATTACGAAAGCTGCTTATCTTAAATATAAGATGACACCACGACGTAACCATGCGTCGCATTCCTCTCGCGGACACGTGATTGGTAGCGAACAAATTAAAGCCTCTCGTTGAACACTTGTATAAACCGGTATGTTCAGATAATCTTGTCGATACGTGTCCTCGAGAGCATTAAGATTGTCACCGTCCGATTTATTGCCCAAGTATTCCTCCGGCATAAACGCTACCTGGCACGTCGGAGCGACCGCGACCGCTGCCGAATTTACGTCCAAATCCTTCAAGACACCTTTCTCAATCGCGGCACCTATAAGCAACACATTGCGTACGAATATTTTCTATTATTTATATAGCAACATTCCAAATTTTTTCACATCATCTTCCCCCCACAACACTTCAGTTTTCAAGAAGTTTCAATCGTGATTCTCATTAATTAATTTTGTTGACGCGAGAAAGTATAGAGCTCCAACGTTTCACTAATAAATGAAGATTAGTACTATTGTGAGTACTAATCAAATGATTGTCAGTGAGAATCAAATGATTATTAATCATCTACCTGATATGAGTAAGCCTTCGAGCTGGAATGACACCTTCCATTCTTTGTTCGGACGATTCTCGGTCCAATTGGCACGGAGGTGAAGCGTTTCCAACGGATGGCCGAGTTCTCGTGCGGTGTGTTGCTTCAGAGCAGTTAAAAGAGCCCGTGGTCGAGACAGCTGTGACAAATCGATTCCACGCGGTATGTTCATTGCTGAGGATTTTAGCACCTCGTACCTCGACAAAAGCGCCTTCGCAAATTGAATGGCATTCTTCGGTCCCGTTCGCCATTCCATAAGCCAGTACTTGGGAGTCTTAAATAACAATAACCTCCATTATTTTGAGAAGAAATGCCAAACGGTTATAATCATCGTTATAACCGTTTGGCATTTCTTCTCAACTAAAATAATTCTTGACATTTATTCGAGATTTGTCTTACCTCGTCATCCTCGAAAGACGACGCGTTCATGTCCGTTTTTACGGTATGCAATAACTTCTTTGCAAGATCGATCTCGTCGATGAAGAAATCCTGTAAAGGATTTCCTTTCTGTTCGCTTATGGCACCTGTGTCACATGTGAATGTCAAGGAACATTGCCGATCTATAACTTCCTTCAGATCCTGTTGAACTTTTGACTTTTCTAATCTATCACTATTTCTTACGCTGTTGCTGAAAGGCTTCATCAAGATACCTTGAAGTATGAATAAAGTGTTAATAAAATTTAAATGTGTTAATTAATTCTAATACATATGAACTTTAAAAATACCTTTGAGATATGTCAAGGCTTTCTCCGCGGCAGCCCTTTCCCATGCCCTATGAGCATTAGCAGGGAGTCCAAAGTACTCTTTCGGCGAATCGGTGTCATCCAGATTCTCTAACAACTTTATCGGATCGCCGAGCATCGTATCGGTCACTTTCACTACATCACCCAGCTTCCGGCGCCCTTCGAAAATATCTCTGGACCATGAGTTGCGTATCATCGAGCGTAACGCTCTTGCATCATACTCGTCTTGAAGTCGACCGCCATAAACCGCAACGTCGAGCAAACCTCTACCGATCTGCCAGTCTCCTTTCAATGTCAAAACATTTTCTATACATCCATTGTATAAAATGTTAAAGCTCTTTTTATTTATAGATATATATATATATATATATATATGTATTTATGTCTCATATACCTTGTTGCGATCGATTCTCCTTCGCCATATCCTTCACCACCAATTCATAAGCAGCCTCGAGATCCGACTCGTTCCACTCGTACGGTCGGATCCAACCCTGAGGAACAAAGTTTCGTCGTTCTTGAAGTGTCGCATGTAACCAGGCAAGCACCAATGTAGTGGCCGCGATGTCATCATCGTTACGCTGCGATTGTCGCAGCTGCTGAAGCGATTTTCTCACGTTTCTCTTTACGCCTTCGGGCGGCTCGTACGCCAGTTTCAGACAGAGCCCCGCTAAACCCGGATAAAATCCGGAACACTCCTCGGTGGTCAGCCAGATTTTCGTAGAGGCATTTTTGTTCGTGGTACACATCGGCGAGCGAAGTAGACTTTCCAGTCGCGGTAGCCAGTTCAAAGCGAGCTGCAAGTTGCTTAACAATATCCAGCTGCCATTGCTGCAAAATAATCGTGAGTATGTTTTAGAATTTACAACAACAACATTGATTATTTTTAATCGGAGAAATTCTATTCTTGTTTTAATAATTTCTATGCTAAATTAAGCATTTTAAAATTCTTCTATTTATAATAAAATGCATGTACTGTAATTTTTGAAATTTTACCTGCATGCGGCTTCCAAGGCCGATTCGGCTTGAGTGACGTGTCCTTGCCCCAGGGAAACCTCGATAAATCCAGTGGAAGTATACTTCTCAGCTAGCACACTCAGCTCGGGACCGGGATCAGTTCCCGGCGATAAAAGTAAAAGTACAGGATATGATCCTGCCTTTTCTTGGGCGATCGTACTCAGTGTCCATAGAGGTGGTGCCAAATCTTTTACACCTGTCGTAAATAAATCCAGAAATTAAGTTTGCTTGAAAGGATCAGTATATATAAATTATTTAATATATTCTCAAAATATATTCTCTTCTGCTGCTAATACTTGCCTAATTGTTTCGCAGCTAATTTAGAAAGAGCGGTATGCAAATAATCAGGCCGCAGAGACTTCACGACCAAAACTTTCTGAAAGGCACTTAGATCGCTGTCTGCGTAAATATCAACAATATTATTCAGCCAGGAAGGCTTGATTTTGATGGCTACCTTTGGAAAAAAAAGAAGAATCTTGATATTAGCAACATTTCAGCTCTGTCAATAATTGGAATTGTTCATGGAAAATGTTAGAAATATATTAACAAAGCTTTCAGTTATTTATTGAAGACATATTGAGTCTACATACGTTGGGTAAAGAAACACCCAACGCTTGAACAGCTTCGCGTCGTTCGTCCGGTATCCATTCGGGCAAGTCAAAGTCAGAATTATCGGCATTACCGATCGCACCGTTGTCAAACAAGAGATTTCTCTCCACATCGGACACTGGGTTCAATGACAACGCCATATGCAACGCCAATGGCAGTCTGTGTTTTCTATAGACTGCCTTCGCGCAATGATGGAAAGTCAGCGTTATCAACCTAATACGATAAACTGTATGATAATCTCGTATATACTGTTCGACTATTGAAATGAGTACGCGCATACCGTTTCTCGATTAAACTTCGCGATCCTCTTTTTTCTTTATCTTCATCGGAAGAATACATGTCACCTTGCACCGCTTTCAAGCAAATATCAGTGTAGGCCTCTGTGGAGATGACATATAAAGGGCTGAGGAGTGTTAACCCTTTGATAGTTTCGTAAACATCAGCGGCAAATTGCGCGAACTTTTCATGATCTTTGGCTCGTCTAAAAAAAGAACAAGAGCAGCATCAATTTTGGATCGGTCAATATTAATGCTTCTAGATAGTGTCATGATTTTTGAAAGTACCTTGCGACCTCGTTCAAACTTTGCCTGCTTTCCTCGAGCGCGGCCGCTATCTCTTTCGCCTTTGACTGTGTGGCTTCCAACGAAGATAAAAGACCTCCTTGCTCTTGGGATTCTTGCAAGAGATCTTGGCCTCTAGCTGTAGCTAATTGACTCAGTAAATCCAGCCTTGCCGCGTCCCGTTCACCCGATAATCTTTCTTCCCTCTCCAAAGCTTCTCTTCTCTGCGCCTCGAGTTCCGGCGTTTCATTTAATAGGAGCTTATGAAACAATTAATCATTTGAATAAATAAAAAAAATTGAATAGAGATCTCTGTAAAATTATATATTTATTTATACTTTCGTACCTTCTCGACGAATCTCTCTGCCAGGCTTCTCGTACCGGTACCAAGTGTAATCTCGCATAATACAGCATCTGCTTCCTTCGGAATATCTTCCAATCGGTCTTTCCTAGTAGCCAAGAAAAGCTGGAAATTTTGTTGGGCCGGCAGAATGCGATCACCCAATCTGAATGGTCTTCGACGAAGGAGGGGCAACAGTATCGATGGGAACTCGACCAGTTCTTCAACCAAGAGAGGTTTCCCAAAGCGCACAGCGAGTTCTAGAGCCGTCAAAAACTTTGAATTTTCAGGCTGAGTTATTTCGAGTTTAGTGCCAAAGTTGCGTTTGATCCAGGTAACAGCTACTCCCGAAGGATCAAGGAAAATAGGCACCAGGGGTCCTTTCAACACGCGAGAAGCTGCGACCAAGCTGCTTGTGTCTGCTGGCAAACCCTGTGCCCTCCATAGCAGTCTTTCGCGTTCCGTTACTAATAATTTGGTCGCTGACTTTTTCCAATCGTCATCTCTTTCAGGATCCTGAACAGTCCAAGTATAAGCAATTAATTTTTCAAGGAATCAATTGTTGTTGTTGATTATGATAATCAAATATTAATGTTCAGACTATTTGAATA